ATCCTTCTAATAATGTTCACAAATCTTTTATTCATTTAGCTTTAGAACAACTTAATTTCCTAATTATTTCAATAATGCACCTCCATACTTCATGCCTTCTATTACCAAAACCATATAATTTCTTTCCAATTAGCTAGAATTTTTAACTCTTAGACCTTAAATTTTAGGTGGTAAGTTAAGTACTTAGCATTTCTCAGATTAATAATACATTCACATTTTTAAGGATATTTTTCAAATAAAATACAAGACATATCCAAATAGATTCAAATCTATCCTCTAGATTCTCCATACAAAGCAAACTCTGTTTTGTTACAGAATTCACCAGGCGACTGAAAAATACACAGGAGTACTTGGAGGTCCAGGATAAACCCATTTATTTTCAGACTAGTGACCCAGTGCACAAAATTGTGCACATTAAAAGGGAATTAATTAGAGGAAATATTTTAATATTGCTTTTTGCCTTTTCTCTATAATAGAAGTGTCAGAGATGAAAGAAAATTAGTAAAATGTATATGAAAATCTTCCTCCTGTCAGAGTCTAGGGCACGCCATGGGAACCAGAGTCAAGTCCCCGCCCACCCACGTGCGCCTCAAAATCGCACGAGACCCAGACCCAGCCGGCCCCACCCCCATTGGGCTAGATCCAGACCCAACCAGCCCCACCCGTATCAAGCCCCGCCGAGTGGGAGGCATGGCCTGAGATCCCCTGGCCTGGGCCGGGGAGCACGCCTTAAGGTCCCCTGGCCTGGGCCAGGGGGCGCGGCCTGAGGTACCCCGTCAAGCCCTGCAGGTGGGGAGCATGGCCTGAGGTCCCCCAGCCCGGCACTGGGGCGGGGGGGCGCGGCCTCAGATCCCACAGCCTGGCACCGGGGCATGGGGCGCGGCCTCAGGTCCCCTGGCCCGGTGCCGGGGACGGGGGCACAGCCTGAGGTCCCCTGCCCTGGCCCAGTGCCACAGAGCCTCAGGTCCCTGCTGATTGCTCGTTAAGGCTCGCTACAGGAACTCGGCCTCTGCTGTGGGCACAGCCATCTTGTGTTATGGAATCCCTGTCTCCGCTAGCACAGCCATCTTTGTTATGGCATGGCGGTCAATTTGCATATTGCCCCTTTATTAGATGTTTCACATGGATTCAGGGGGTCAGTTCTCCAAATCCTGAGTAAGCCAATATGGAGGAAGCTTTCTCTTTATACCATTTGGTTTCTTTGTTTCCTATCTGTTTCCTAACTACTGGGCTTTTGTGGTGGGCTTCCACAGGGGGAAGTTAGACTGCATCTAAATGCCTGGTCTGGGTGGTGTCAGTGACCTCCCCTGTAGCTAAGCTGTTACATTCTTTGTTTATGGCCCCTTTGTAAATTGGGAGGAATTAGGAAAACAGGTCTTGCTAGACCAGATTGTGGAGAAAGGGGCAGTGACTTAATTATAGGCCATCAAGAAAGTACATTAGGTTACTGGCACAGATTCAGATTGCTACCCCCCCTCCCCCAAAATGTCTTATTTTCCCCATCAGTTTCAGTAGCCTGTTATTTCAAAATACCTAGGTATTTAAAATATATGTATTTTTTTACTATTTAACCCAGCAAACTCCAAAGTTTTAAGTTAGCAAAAACTTTGGAAAACTCTGAAAAAGCTTTATCATATAACCTTTACTTTTGTTATAACAACTTTGAGATTTTAAAGGCAATTATTATTATTATTCTTTTAAAGCCAATTATTATTATCCAAGGCATTTTCTTGGCAAATTTTGTAACAGGGATAACTCAGCAACCTTCAATGGCTTTAATGTGAAAGTACTATTTTATTTTATTTTCCTTTATAAAAACAGGAATGCCCCTTCACTGCTAGAGGGTACTACCTTCTACAGATCTGTTAATCCCAGTGTTATAGGCAAAAACAAAACACTGGGGACTAGTTATGGTTATGTGAAATATTAATCATGCTCTGCTAACCATGATTGCCCTTTCTGGTCAAAGAAAGGACATACCAACCTGGCTGGGAGTCCTATGCCCCCAAGACCTGGGAGTCAGCCTTGGAATGTGGTCCATTCTCATTCAAACACTGCCCATTATCATGGAAGCATTAACCTTGTTGCCCAAACAATGCAGTCCCAACCCAGCCTGTATAGCTTACTTCCCCAAACTTGTAATCCCTACTTCCCCATGTAATCTTTGTCCCTATATTCATAAACCAGGGAAGAGCAAACTAAAGTCCTCAAAAGATAGAAAGCTAAAATTACATTACAGACACACTGACAGAAATCTCACTAGCTAAGAATTTCTGGTGGCTGAGGCCCTGAGAGGGAGAGCAGAAGAGTCCCCAAGATTAAGAATTCTTGGCACCTGCTAAAACATTCCTGTCATCTCTGTCACAAAGACAATCCGAAGAATGGCAGGAGATACATTTGCAAATCATATACTTGATAAGGATCTTATATCCAGAATATATAAAGAGCTCTTACAACTCAATAATAAAAACACAAATAACCTTCCTAAAAACTGGGCAAAGGATCTGAACAGACAGTTCTGCACATGAAAAGATGTTCAAATCATTAGCCAATAGGAAAATGCAAATCAAAATCACAAGGAGATTCCACTTGTCACACCCATTTGGCTGATTATAATAAAAAAGGCAGACATTAATATGTTAGAATTTTTAAAACCACAGTATTTTCTTTTCTTTAAATATATTTTTTTATTGATTTCAGAGAGGAAAGGAGAGGGAAATCAATGATGAGAGAAAATCATTGATCAGCTGCCTCCTGCACATCCCCCACCGGGGACAGAGCCTGAAACCTGGTCATGTGCCCTTGACTGGAATCGAACCCGGGACCCTTCAGTCTGCAGGCCAATGCTCTATCCACTGAGCCAAACCAGCTAGGGCAAAAACCACAGTATTTTCAACCCCATTCAGACTTGCATAAACAGGTCTATTTCGAGAAAAGTTCTTAGGTGAAACAGGAAAGAGATGAAGTTTGTTTGTTTTTAACAGAGACTCTATTTATTCTTTGCGTGTGAGAGGGTTTCCGAGGGGACCAAGAAATATTCAGGATTAAATATGATTCGGTTCCTCCAAATCAGCTGCTGAGGTTGCAAATGTCCAGGAAAGTAACTAACCTTTTTAAGAAAACTCTGTTCTCTAAATGGGAGGAAATATTCTGGTGGTAAAGTAAACTGGGAAACCAGGTTAGGACTGGAAAACAAATATAGGTAATTTTTAAAACATATTGTATCTTGATATTTCTCTCTTTGAGAATTTCTTCAAAACAAATGTCATAAACTTTTCAGAAAGACAGTGATTTGCTAAGAGAAAGTGGTCTTAATGAGGATGTGTGTCAAGGAAATATAATTACCAATTTGCCTGATTAAAATGAGTATCTGAACATGCCTGAGGAATGTGAGCCTTCTCGGGTGTGACATGTACCATTTGCTTTTTGTAAACATCTGCTGGCAGAGCCTAGCAGATGATGTTAACAGGGAACGGGTGACTGAAGCCAAGCTTCACCTGAAATACTGTGGGAAGAAATGCCTGGGAATATTGT